GACCACCCGATCAAGTCTATAAGACTTGACAATGCTGCAGAGTTTACATCTAAGAACTTTGATGATTATTGCATGGCCATCGGGATCGATGTAGAGCATTCTGTTCCCCATGTACACACGCAAAATGGCCTTGCAGAAGCAACCATTAAAAGACTACAAATGGTAGCTCGGGCATTGATTATGCGTTCTAATTTGCCCACATCTGCATGGGGTCATGCCATATTGCATGCAGCTTTACTTATTCGCTTAAGACCCACTGCTTCACAACCATTCTCTGCATACCAGTTGGTGACTGGTTATGAGCCTGACATTTCACACTTACGGATATTTGGTTGTGCAGTGTATGTGCCGATTGTGCCCCCACAGCGCACTAAAATGGGTCCTCAAAGACGATTAAGTATTTATGTTGGATATGAATCCCCAACCATTATTCGCTATATAGAACCTTTGACAGGTGATCTTTTTACTGCTAGATTTGCAGATTGTCACTTTGATGTGACAGATTTCCCGTCGTTAGGGGGAGATAAGAAAAACTCTCCAAGCGAACGACAGGAAATATCGTGGTGTGTTCCCACACTGTCTCATTTTGATCCCCGTACTTCACATTGTGAAAGCGAAGTGAAAAGAATAATTGATCTCCAAAACGTGGCAAACTCGATGTCCGATTCATTTACTGATATTGCCAAAGTGACAAGATCACACATACCTGCTGCAAATGCACCTGCAAGGTTAGAAGTCCCAATTAAAAGGAAAAATGCCATAATGACAGACATTACATCCACACCGAGTGGAAGTGTGGGTGAGGCCGTGGCTCCTCAAAGGAAGAGAGGAAGGCCACTTGGTTCGATTGACACTCATCCAAGGAAGAAAAGGACGAGTGCGGCACACACTAATCCGTTACACATCGATGTTGAACATCCATCCCATGAGATTATCTCTGATTATAGTTATGTCCATGAATCATTACTGGAGGACGCTCAGATGTTTGGTATGATTCAAGAGAATAAAGAAATCTCAATGGATTATGAAAGTGCACATATATTACTAGAAAGATCTTCAACACACATCGATGATGTATTTGCTTTCAGTGTTGCTCTAGAGATAATAGAGCATGATGATATCGAACCACGCTCTATTGCAGAATGTCAACAAAGAGCGGATTGGCCTAAATGGAAAGAAGCAATCCAGGCAGAGCTCGATTCCTTGGCAAAAAGACAGGTATTTGGTCCGGTAGTGCTAACCCCTCCAAGTGTAAAGCCTGTAGGACATAAATGGGTATTTGTCAGGAAACGTAACGAGAAGAATGAAGTCTTAAGATATAAGGCTCGCCTAGTGGCGCAAGGTTTCTCACAACGCCCTGGAATTGATTATGAGGAGACATACTCCCCTGTAATGGACGTTATAACATTTAGGTACTTGGTGAGCTTAGCAGTTTCCGAAGAATTGGAAATGCAGCTTATGGATGTGGTTACTGCATATCTCTATGGGGATCTTGATTCTGNAACATAATAGGCACTCTTGATGAAATAAGAGAAACTGCAAATTATTTGAAATCTGAATTTGAGATGAAAGACCTTGGGAAAACTCGATTTTGTTTAGGCCTTGAACTAGAACATCGAGTTGGTGGGATATTAATCCACCAGTCTGCGTATGTCCAAAAGGTACTCAGGCGATTTAACATGGACAAAGCGCATACTGCTAGCACTCCCATGGTCGGCCGAAGTTTAGATCCTAAAAAGGATCCATTTCGTCCAAAGGAAGAGGATGAAGAGGTATTAGGAGCTGAAATTCCATACTTAAGTGCCATAGGTGCATTATTGTACCTAACTCAGTGTACTCGGCCGGATATAGCATTCTTAGTGAACTTGTTAGCTAGATTTAGCTATGCGCCAACGCAACGTCACTGGAACGGTATCAAAAATATTTTGAGGTATTTAAAGGGAACCAGTGATATGGGACTATTCTTTCTTTACAAAAGGACAAGGGAAGCTGTGAATTCCAAGAAAATGGTTGAAGAAGGAAGTTCATCCTCAAATCTAGAAACACCAAATGATGTACTAATTGGGTATGCTGATGCAGGATATTTATCTGATCCACACAAGGGTCGTTCCCAAACTAGTTATGTATTCACAGTTGGTAACACTGCAATATCATGGAGGTCAACCAAGCAAACTCTAGTAGCCACCTCATCAAACCACTCAGAGATAATAGCTCTACATGAGGCGGTTCGCGAGTGTATATGGTTAAGAACTATCATTACACACATTCGCGGGGCTAGTGGCTTGAGACCAACCACTGAAGAACCCACATGCATTTACGAGGATAATGCTGCTTGCATTGAGCAAATGAAACTTGGATTTATCAAAGGTGATAACACTAAACATATTTCTCCCAAATTTTTCTATAATCAACAACAACAAACTCTCCTCAAGATCCAAGTAAATCAAATAAGATCTGAGGAGAATGTGGCAGATTTATTCACCAAATCATTACCTAAAGCCGCATTTGAGAAACATGTTAAAAATATTGGGATGCGTAGACTTTCGGATCTTCCTTGATCATGTACACTTCAGGGGGAGATTTGAATATTCAAGGTCTAGCTTTTATTTTATGTTACACTCTTTTCCTTAAACCAAGGTTTATTTTTCCCATTGGGTTTTGTTACTTGGTAAGGTTTTTAATGAGGTAACAATATGCATGAACATAGCGATCGAAGTAAGGATCGGTATTCTTTTCTTTGTTCAAGATTTTTATTCACAGGATTTTAACACTTGACGAGATTTTTACAAGAGATCAAGATTCTGCAATTCTACCTACAGCTCAGCACAAGGGGGAGTGTTGAAGGAATTTGTAAATTAGTGTGCTGTTGTGTAGATAGAATTTACTTTATATTGTGTAATATAGTTGTACTGGCCCGTGGGCCTTCTATTGTAAAACCCTACGAAGCTCTTCCCTATACAAGGGAGCTATTATCAATAAAGAATGTACATCTCCTACAACATTTTTCTATTTATACATTTATTCTCCCTAATCCGTCCGTATATTATCATTGCCATTGCCTCTGAACATCTTTTCCCTATATATATAACTATACGCTGAGTAAAGGAAATTGAAATTCTATCTTCTCGCCTCGAGTCCTTTGAGGATCTGAAGAAGAAAGTTCATACATTTCTTGAGTGAGAAAAACAAAAAAAATGGAGGGCGAAATGAAGGCTTCGAGATTCAAGAGGATTTGTGTGTTCTGTGGGAGCAGCCAAGGGAAGAAGAGCAGTTATCAGGACGCTGCCATTGAAATCGGCAAAGAATTGGTATTCTTTATTCCCTTTTTTCGATGGTTTTTGTCCAAAAATGTCGCCTTTTTCCTATGTTTCTTTGTCCGTTCTTCTCTGGTCTTGTCCTCCTGTACTGGGGTGTTCATAAAGATTCTGTTTTCACGAGGATTCTTGGGTTAAGAATGAGACCTTTTTTGGCTATGGGTTTTTGGAGACATTTCATGAGTTTAATCCCATTGTGTTGGTTCATCAACATGTGAGAATCATCACTTTTCTCTGTTTTTTTTCTCCATTTTCACCAAACCTTACTTGAGTGGTTTTATGGGGCTTTTGGAGCATAAAGGTGACATTTTTATGTGAAAATTGAAAAGTGGTCAATCTTGAAAGGTAGTTTAGTAAAACCCCAATTCCTCATTGAAGAAAAAGCTTTGTAACTTTAGACTGATGTGGATTTGTTATCACTTCTGAAGGTTTCAAGAAACATTGATTTGGTGTATGGAGGGGGCAGCATAGGGCTGATGGGCCTGGTCTCACAGGCTGTTCATGATGGTGGTCGCCATGTTATGGGGTCAGATTATATGCATACTGCTTTATTTCCATTTCAATCTTTAATTTTATTTTACCAAGTGTCCCTTTCCAAATTCCAAATGGTGCTTTGTAATTAGTGTTTGCTTTTTTTTTTCTCTTAATTTCAAAATGTTAAAGTTAAATGTAACTGTTGGATAACTTCTTTTAAAACACTAATGAAGAAAGGGGATAATCAAGAAACATGGTTTAACAGTAATGTGTTTTGTCTCATGAGTATTTTTCTCTCTTTCTGAGAAACTAATTTTTGTTGTCATCTTACTGTTCGTCTGCAGAGTTATTCCCAAGACGCTCATGCCCAGAGAGGTATGTCTGTTATTTTCTGGATAAGTGTTTTTTCTTTCACTGTTAATTTCAAATGCTAGTAATTAAAAAAAGACCTTATTTTAAACTTAGTAAACTCTCTTAAGGGTTCACTACATTTTTTGGAGGAGTATTTTATTAACTTTTGATTTTTTTTTTGGATTGAATTATTTCTTTATAGTCATGTCTACTTTATATGGTACTTTTGGCAGCTAGTGGGGTTTACCAATGAAGTGATTTTAGGTCCAAATTAAATGTTTTTCTGTCTCTCCCCCCGTATTAGTTTGTCTTAGTTTTATACAGAGTATACATTATTATAATTATTCAATATTATTATACTTTTGGTCTTTTTCTTGTCTTTTTGTGTGGAACAAAATTATTGGCATACACAAACATATGTAGCTGTGGATTAAGTCCACTGCACAGTGCAGCCACAGCCTTGTATGTTGAAGGGTCAATTTTGTAATTTTAAAATTTTGTTTCCTTTTGGGCTGGTTGCTTTCACAGTTGACTGGTGAAACAGTAGGGGAAGTGAAGACTGTTGCAGATATGCATCAAAGAAAGGCAGAGATGGCTAGACATTCAGATGCCTTTATTGCCTTACCAGGTTTGGTCTTTGTTCTGTCACTTTTGTGCACTTATATTGTTAATTAGGCAAATTATCAGAAAATCAAAAAAAAAGGTGTATTTCTATGAAAGCAACTGTGGGTTGAACTTAATGAAAGGCTTAAATGACCCAAAGACCCTTCAACATCTTGGGGATTGAGCAGTCAAAATCCCAAGGTTCAGTGTTGATGACATATCAACATCCTGCACTGAAAATCACAGCCTACTTATTCCTTCATTGTCATAAGTAGAAGGAAATGATGAAAATTGCAGACCTTTCACAAATCTGGTATTCTTAACTTGCTGCTCTACCTAGCTAGTATCATACATTGTCACTCCTTTCTGGGCATTTCTAGCTTCCCAAGAATACCCCCACCCCACCCCTGCCCCCCCTTCCCCTTTCATTCTTCAACCCATGCCACCAAACTTCCTAAAAAAATAATTCTTTTATTATTCTCATAAATTCTTGAAACTCTTACTCTAGTTGAGAGATGAAATGGAGAAGAAGGGCCAAAGTGGGAAATTGGTATTGAATGTTTTCTTGACTGTATAAAACTTCATAATTTGTGAAACAAATTGTTTGTAACAAAAGCAAAAGACATGAAAGATAGTATCTTTTTTTCCATTCTATATGAAGAAGTTTAATTATGTTAATGGTATTATTAATCCATGAAGAGATTTGGTACAAATACTCATGCAGGTGGTTATGGCACACTTGAGGAGCTACTTGAAGTGATCACTTGGGCTCAACTTGGCATTCACAACAAACCGGTGCGTTTTGATGCCCACATTTTACATATGTTTCCAATTCCAAAAAGTCTTTCTTTCATTTATGTGCTTAGCAGTAAGACAACACTCTTTGAGACTTGACCATAGCCACAAATTTTGTTTTCTGCAGGTCGGGCTACTGAACGTCGATGGGTACTACAATTCATTGCTTACATTCATTGACAAAGCAGTGGAAGAAGGCTTCATAAGCCCAAACGCCCGCCACATCATTGTGTCTGCGCCTACTGCCAAGGAACTGGTCAGGAAAATGGAGGTAATTTTCAGTCTTGCTTTGTTATTAAGGTTCCAGTCTGGGTATTCTTGGAAAGAGTCTTTTTTTCTTATTAAGTTATGATTTGTAAGATGCAAATCATCTAATGCAAATGAAAGGGGTCTACCAGACAACAAACACCTAAGTGTTCATGAATCATGTTTGGACAATACTATTGTAGATAGCAAAGAATGTTTTAGACCATTCTACTCATCAAGTGGCACAAGCTGTGAACTGAATTTATGTTTTTTATAACTAAATCCAAACAAAACTTCAGGAGTATGTTCCATGCCATGAAGGAGTTGCACTGAAGTTGAGCTGGCCATCATGGCAGGGAGATGAGGGCCATGAAACCCCCCTTGAATTCGCAGCATAGGAGCGCTCGTTTCGGTGCAAGAATTAAGATACTGAACCAGCCAGGAGATGCTAACCTCATATTCCTAGATTTTTTCTGTGGAGGGGTTCTTTTTTTTTATTTTTTTATTTGTATATTTAGTGCTTGAAAAATCAGATCTTGCATTATATATGGCATATATATAAAATATATATATGGTTTATCCTAAGTCCCTCTCATGAGGAAGTGAAAGTCATGCTTTTTTGTGCAAGAAAGCTGTAACTAAGTACTTAGATGCAATTCTGAAATTCCCTCCATTAGTGTTTACTCAATATCAAGGTGTTCAATTCTTGGTTGCAAGTTGTAGTTTTTAAGGCTGTGTCTTTACTTAGAGTATTGTTTATTAACTTGTTCCAAAAGGTGAAATCGCTCACCCCGTACGCTCCTCACCCCCTGCCCGACGGGATTGTGAGAGGTGGTAAAGCACGGTGACTCTACCGGCTACCAGTGCTCACTGCGCACAATGAGTTCCCTTATTTTTTGAGAGGTTGTTCATACACCGTCGCTGGTGAGGCTCGATCCTTGGTGTCTTGTTCTAAATTTACCTCTGAGATCACTTGAACTGTCCATACGGGTAATGTACCAAACTAGATATCTCAAACTATGTGAAAGTCCCACTTTACTTTTTTATTCTTAACAATTTTTTTTAAAATGCGTGATGTTAATGATTGAAATTTAGTGTCTGTCTCATATCTTCTACCTATTTTGACTTGGTAGACTTTTTAATAATTTAATGTAAGATGAAAAAAATTTTGACTTTTCATTTTGTCAATCATTGTGTAATATTCCGTAAATTAAAGAGAGATGCAAAAGTATTATTTGAGTTGTAAAAATGTGAATAATTTTTTTCAATTTAAGAATAGAAAAAGAAGGATATAGAACCACCCCCAAGAAAATGAGAATACAGATATGGGAGGATGGAGAGAGTATTTTTAGAATAGGTTGCAATATGAACTTCAATATATTCGGATAATAAGTAGTAGTACTCTCAATACTTTTATAACTTTAACAGAGAAATATGAAGTTTAGAACGAACGTATGAGTCTCATGACGCGAATATGAAAACTACTCCATTTATTCATATTTAACTGATCACTATGAATTTGCCAAGCGTCAAATGAATGTGGACACGATGTATGTCTACATTCATCCACCTTTCGATGCATCACTAAAATCATAATGATCGGAGGCACTAAGTGTTGTACATATCAGAGGCACTAATTAAGTGTTGTTTGTCAACATGTACTACCTCCGTCCCAGTGTATTTGTCCAGTTTGACTTTTTCGAGTCAAACTGGATAAACTTTGAACTCCAATTACTCTCAATTTATATTTCATATTAGCATAATGAAATACAATTTTGAAAGCTCTCAATATGATAAATTCAATAAAATCATTTTTATGTTAAAATACATTACGGTTTTATTTAATTGAAGCTCAAAGTTTGTCCAGTTTGACTCGAAAAAGTCAAACTGGACAAATACACTGGGACGGAGGGAGTAGTATTTAATTTGTTAGGTGGTTGTGGCTTTTGTTGTGATGCAATTAGTTGGTTTAGTTAGGAGGTTGTCATATATACATACATTTATATAGCTCCAAGTAATGATGAACAATGATAGTAGACCAAGAAAGGCATATAAAATGAGACAGAAGGAATAGTTGAGGGCTGTACAAAATAGCCTAATTTTGTCCCAAACTCTGAAATGCCAAAATATTCACTTTCCTTTTTTGGCCATGCCCTCCAACCACAAGAAGAAGAACAAGAAGCTAAGGTCAGGCCCCTCTCCTTTCCCCTATTTGCCCTTTTTTTCTTTCGGTCAGCTCTGTTGCTGCCCGGATAATCATCAATGGCTGTACTGTTTTATTTGTTTTTGTGGCTGAAACCTTACAAAGATTTTTTTTTTAAAAAAACAATATACATCTGGGATCATTTTGTTCTTATCACCATGAAATGCCTTAGCATGCATATAATACATACTCCCAAATGTTTCCTAATGAACTTTCTAGCGTTGCTTTCTCGAATAAGGTTTCACGATTGATCGGGCACGGTTATTATGAAGAAAGATGGAAATTACGGGGTTGAGTTTTGTGCGAGTAAGAGTGAATTTAAGTTAAGTTCGTCGTTGATATGTGTAGAGAGATTTAACAAGAAATTAATAGGTTGAATTGGTAGAAATGTTAATGGAAAAGTTGGTAAATAGGAGTAGTTGGCGTTCCACGCTAGCTATTTTCTAATAAAAATGCTAGAATTTTATCAAATGTTCAAAACACATGGTTCTTTATTCGGGTGCCCGAGTAAATGGCACGTGTTCATAACGGTGGTTAAAGGGTAGTCGTCGTCAGTCTCTGCAGTTTTTGGGATGCATTGGCGCTTGTTCGCGCGGTTGGTCTTGTAGCACCTGCATGTGCCGGCGATTTGTGGTACCTTAATCATTTGGTGCCTTAAAAATCGTGTTTGTGTGGGCACATGTACGTACCCGCAGTTAAAGGGTGTCCGCATGCACCTACGGTTTTGGTACATGTGGTACGAGCTAATGAGTCAAGTCACAAAAATAATTTAATAAATAGTTTATAAGTTAAAAAGTACTTATAATAAAAAAAACTAATAGTAAGGACATCCACATATTCTAAAACTAAATTTGAAAAGGAATCTAATGATACTAAAGTTGATTATAGAACAACAACAAAAAAAATATAGAGAAGGGTGCAGAGAGGAGAAACTAAAAAGAGGGGCCTCATCTCTACTTGCTCAAGTGGCCTGGAAAGGGAAATAATGCTTATGGAATATGTTTGCCCACATAGATCTTATAACTTCTTTAGTCTTGTGATTTTTTTTCACTTTTACAAAGTTTAAAAATGTTACAAAGTGAAAATTTTACAATTAAAATTTGTTCAGAAGTGATAGAAAAGTTGCGTCGCTTATTTATTTACTGGGAAAGGTTTCTTATTTATTTATTGGGAAAGGTTTCATAGACACTGGCGTGCAGTGTCAACAGATGACACCTACTCATATTTGTATTTTCTTTTTAAATCTATAATAGTGGAATTCATATTTTTATAATTCAAAAAATAACCATCAATCATAACTCACACAGAAGGAAGTCTTTTTTGTGATTTTTGGATCTACAATCATTTCATGAAGCTCATTATATGGACACCATGAAAATATTGAGCCTTTTTCATAAACCTCATTATATGGACCTCATGTAGATGTTTATATCACAATTTTACATGAAATTCTTCTTCATGTATACCTGTGAACTGTAGTACATTCTATGTTCCCCTAGGGAACTAACTTATAAAATTCAAAAAATAATACTTACCAGACTCATAATTTTATCTGAATTTTTTTGGATATTTTATAGTCCCTCCGTCCCAATTTAAATCCTTGGTTTCGATTTACGGTGTTTGACTAAAATTATTTTCTAATTATTTTATAAGAAAAATGGTGTAAAATTAAAAAAATAAAAGCTATGTAATACATATTTAAAAACTACATAAAAAATAGTGGTAACATGCATATATTATTTTATCAAATGGCTAACAAAAATAAGGAATAAAAATGAATAAAATTTGATCATGTAAAGAGTAAACAAGTACTCTAATCTAAGAAGAAGAGAGTACATCTCAAAATAAATACTGTATTTGATTTTTCACGATTTCAAACATGACATTTTAACAATGGATAACTACAATTATATACTCCCTCCGTCCTAAATTATAATGCATGTTCATTATTCACAGGGTCAAACTTCATTTACTTTCTTTTTCTATTTTCGTTAGTAATTTACGGAGTAATAAAATAAAGTACTATTGTTACTGCTAGTTTTGTAGATCTTTTGATGTAGTATTTTAATATGTAATTTTTGTTTTTTTTAACTATATATCATTTGTCATATAAATGATTTGAAAATAATTTCAGTCAAACATCGTAAACCGAAACAGGCGTTATAAAATGAGACGGAGGAGTACTACATATAAGTACCTATTTACAAAATTTTATATACCGAGTCTATATCTAAAAATGAACCTAATTACATTAAGTTTATATCATTTCTAAATACTCCGTCCGTCCCAAATTATTTGCCACATTTGCTTTTTCAACAGTCGCGGAAACTTTTATTTATTTCTACGTTTTTATTGGTTATTTGATAAAATAAAATATTCTTGACATCTCTTATTTCAAAGAACTTTTCATGTAGTTTTTTAATATATAATTTTTATTTTTTATTTTTTTACCAATATGTAAATAAAATGAATTAAAAAAACTTGATATTTTGTCTCGGTAATAGAAATATAACAAATAATTTGAGACGAATGGAGCACAAACTTGTCACGGTGTATGATCACAATTTATGGGATTTGACTAAGAAAACTTAAATGTAAGGGAGATGCTAGGGGAGTAGGGGTACACCATTTGTACACCACCCTCTCCATAACCACTCATTTATTTTTTATTTTTATTTACTTAATTTTTTTTTAAATTTCTTGCCTATTTAAGTGGTAATGGAGGGGGTGGGGGACAAATGGGGTACACCAAAACACCTTTGGTGTACACCTAGCATTTTTCTAAATGTAAACTTTTTGAGGAATGCTAGAGATACCCCATTTGGGGTACCCATTTTGTACACCATGCATTCTAGCCCTTCATTTATTTTTTTTATTTTTAATTTTTTTTTCTCTTTCTTGCTTTGTGTGGTGGAGATGGAGGGGGTACAAATGGGGTACCCCAAACATTTTTGAAACTTTTTTTGTGCCTGATGGAGTATATGACTAAAACAGAATTTATTTCCTCACATACAATAAGTTTTTCCATTAAATATTACACCCTTCGTCCCAATTTTTTTCCATTGCGCAAAACGAAATAAAAACTCAAAACTTTTAAATTTATTTTATTTAAATATTAATATAGAAATACAAAAAATAAATAGTAACAGGAATGTTTTGTTTTATCATATAAGCCATGAAAAATATTACAGAGGAATAGATAAAAGTTTCCGTAAAATTGAAATAATACACTCTAAAGAAATATATGCGACAAAGAGAGTACTTACGTTATATT